TATATATCAAACTTCTTACCATTAATACAAAGAGTATAACTGTTAACTGTTATACTATACACATGAATGAAGCAAAGTAACATGTAACTATAAGTTAGTTAACCTGTCTCCAGTCTTCAACAAGTGAGATAAGTCAGACGTCCTTAAACACAACAAATTCAGTTGATGGTAAACTAGATATATATCAGTCACTGCACGATCCTAGAAAGGTATCCTTATATTGCATAACCCCAGCCCCATGTAAGTCAATGAACTTGAAAGGAATAGTGCAGAGTGTGGCATGAGCTTGATCATGTTTGACACTTATTTGAATAAGTTGACAATAAAATAACAATTAAATGTTAGTCTTCAACCTGACATTCCATAATAACCTTCATGTTACTAGCGGAAGATGATCAGGGAGTGAGAGGGGTGGTGAGGGAAAGGGGTGATGAAGGCGAGAGGGAGCGAGAGGGATAGTGAGGGCGAGAGGGAGGGTGAGGGGGAGGGGTGAGAGTGAGAGTGAGGGTGAGGGAGAGTGATGGTGGGAACACTAGTTATCACTGACGTACTGTACCAGGTGTCACCTGTTCTCCTCAGGTGAAGTGTCTAGCAAGTATAGTGACACTACTACAAGTATAGTGACATCACCACAAGTATAGTGACACCACCACAAGAATAGTGACAGCACTAGTGACATAACCACAAGTATAGTGACACCACAGGAATAGGGACACCACAGGTATAGTGACACAACCACAACTATAGTGACACTACCACAAGTATAGTGACGCCATAAGTATAGTGACACCACAAGTATATTGACACAACCACAAGTATAGTGACACCACCACAAGAATAGTGACAGCACTAGTGACATAACCACAAGTATAGTGACACCACAAGTATAGTGACACCACATGTATAGTGACACCACTACAAGTATAATGACATGTCTACAAGTATAGTGACACTGCCACAAGTATAGTGACACTTGCACAAGTATACTGACACCACAGGGAGAGTGACACTACCACAGGTATAGTGACTCCAAAACACAGCATCACTCCCACAAGCACACTTGCCATGGGAGTGCGGCAGGAGATGCTGGATTAAGAAATACACGTTGGATGTCTTGGAGATGTATAATTAAGAGAGTCTTGAGATACCCAGGCCTTGCCTTGTCCAGTCTATGCCTGGTGGGAACTGACCGTGAGGCCTCCAGCCTACCACTCAATTGTGATGGGTCTCATGACGTCACGCCTAGCAAGGGAGCCTATCTATAAAGTAGCTGGAATGTATCTAAGTGTACTACCAGTACACAGTAACACTACGGACAGCTCGGCGACGCTAACATATGGCATCCTGTCATGCAGCTAACTTATACACACCATAGACCAGGGGTCAGCAACCTTTTGGAGAGAGAGCAGGCCAGACGACTATGCAGTCTCTCGGAGGAGGGCCATGTTATTAAATGTAATATAAAAAAAAATCTCGAACTCAGGGTTGCCATTAGTTTTTTAAGCCAATTTTGGCCTAATTCTAATAATACTTAACACAATTTATCACAAATAATTAAATAAACATTATTATCGAATGCAGATACCTACAATTGTTTTACCACTGGACAACAAACTCAAATGAAAAACTCTAGTGACATAACCACAAGGAAGGAGGACACGAAGTAACTTTTCCAGGGACTGCTTGAAGCGACCCCTCAAGGAAGGTTCCTTGATGTTGGTGAGGGGCTCTTGATTTAGGGAATTGGATCTGTGCTCCAGTTCCCCAAATTAAGCCTGAATGCCTTCCACATCCCCCCCCCAGGCGCTGTATAATCCTCCGGGTTTAGCGCTTCCCCCTTGATTGTAATAATAATAATAATGCTTGAAGCGAACTACTGCATCTGTATTCGATACTAATGGAATATAGATAGAATATTCAAATCTCCTGTACTCACTGTAACTCCAGTGGAAATAAGTCACTCTGACTTTTTTGGGTTATCCTAGGTTCTCTGCACATATGCTGTTATGTATGATAATCTATGTAACTGTATTTGTGTGTACCTGAATAAACTTACTTACTTACTTACTTACTTAAATCTAATGAGTTAACTTTTAAGTTTGCCCGAAGTGTTCTACATATAAAGGGGCTTTTGGCATGTACACTCAGCTATTATATTCCTAAATAACAAAAAGGCACAATACCGTGACTGGAACGATACACAAATAACCCGCACATAAAAGACAGAAGCTTACGACGACGTTTCGGTCCGACTTGGACCATTGACAAAGTGACTTTGTCAATGGTCCAAGTCGGACCGAAACGTCGTCGTAAGCTTCTGTCTTTTATGTGCGGGTTATTTGTGTATTATATTCCTATGTACAACCATGTAATTTGTCAAAATAAACATCTTAATCTTAATCTTAATTAGTGTCAATGTGTTAAGTTGGCAAGCTGGACGAAAACCTCACACAGGCCAGATGTGGCCCGCGGGCCAGATATGTTGCAGATGGGTTGCTGACCCCTGCTATAAACTGTAGGCATTATGGCTCTGGACTGATTCTATACAATGCCAATGTACACAACAGTTGAATGTAAAGACCTATACATAATGATATTTGCTTGCAATGGATTACAAATTATGATATATCACAAATCACTGTAAATGATAGACTCACTGGTAGTACAGAATAACAAGAGAGATGAACAAAGAGAAAGAGAAGATCGATCTACGGATTCTGAGGAAGTATATTTACAAAGAAGAAAGTGTTTAATACAGAAAAGGCAGACTTTCTGCACATAAGTCTTTTACTGTTAAATCTCAGAACTCAGAGAGAACATGAATGCATAAAAAAAATTTTTTTTGAAACATCAGTAAGTTGATATCATCATTGTCCAGTGTATTCTCCAATCTCGTTGGCTCTTTTATTTGCTGGTTTAAGGAGAATTTGGTGCAGATATTTAAAATCTCTTGTGCGAGACAAGGTAGTCCCTTTTGGATGTAACTCTGGTAGGTTAAGTTAGTAAGGTTTGTCATATGATGACCCACCACTGAAGCATTTGTTCATCTGACTGAAATATTTCGTTGGCTTACCTGTCCACCCCCCTTTAAAAATTAATGGTTATTAAAACCATATTTTTTGTCTATTCACTACCGACTCTGGCATCAACTTCAGCCCTAAACGGAGTATCGACACCAACAGTTCTTTCACTGGTAGTTGGCCGACAGGCTTTGAAACCAACAGACGAATCAGTTACTAAGGGTAACGAGACACTGCTGTTTCCAGAGAAAGATGAGGTTAAGTTTGCTATCTATTGAATAGATCAGCTGCCCACCTTGTTCCGCCGGTGTCGAGTGAACCAATTCGATCAACGAGGCAAAATTATAAAAAATAACGAAAGGTTATCAGGTGTGATCTGAGGAAGGGGAGGGTAGCTCAAAATTCTTTGGATCTAGAGCCTTATGAGGAGAGAGAGAGATACGTGATAATATATACCTGGAAAGTTCTTGAGGGTCTGGTCCCAAATCTGCACATTGCCGTAAAAACACAGGAGTGAGAGAGACATGGGAAGAAAAGCAAAATAAACCCTGTGGAAAGCAGGGGTGCGGTGGGCACAATAAGGAAGCATTGTATCAATGTCCTTAGCCCCAGATTATTCAGCATCTTAGCAGAAGATGTCAGAAACACTGCTGGAATAAGTGCAGAAGTCTGCAGGAGGAAACTGGACAAGTATCTTCAACAAGGCTGTGATGGATACGTGGAGCAGCGGGTCACCAGCAGCAGCAGCCCGCGTGGGTGACCAGGCAAACACCAGATGAGCCTGGCCCATGACTGAGCTCCAGGAGTAGAGAAACTCTCGGAACTCATCAAAGGTAAAGGTAATGGAGGAGAGACTGCAAGAGTTACCCAACTCATGACTATAAAAGTGACAGAGTTAAGTAGCTGTAACTATGGCAGAATATAAGAGTGACTGTACTAATAACTATGTCAGTGATTACGGCATGCAGTCATAATGACTAGTGATACTGATAGTTACTATACCAGTGACTATGGCACTGATGATAGTGACTATATCAGTAACTATGATAGTGACTATGCCAGTGACTATGATAATGACTATGTCATTGACTATAGTAGTGCCTGTATCAGTAACTATAATAGTGCCTATATCAATAACTAATGCAGTGCTTATTCAAAGTTTATTCTCTATAAAGATTACTATGTTGAATTTACAGAATTTGGTTGTTGTGTGGTTTACACGTAGTTAAATAATGATTACAGAGTGCACCACTAGAACGCCTAGCATGGCTAGGCATTTCGGGCAGACTTAGTTTAATTGTTTATTTTAAAATATTACAAATTATGAGGTAAGTTGGTATTATGGCTAAGTGACTAAATACTAGTTTGTGAGTCTAGCAACGTGAATGCTTTTGTTTTGGCACAGTACATAGCTTCAGTATTGGAGTATCATAGGGTTCATTATTTTAAGATTGAGATTAATATTTCTGTTTATGGTCAAATGGGTGAGTGAGTGTAAGTGTGAACCACCAGGTGGTATTCGTGTAGTTAGTTGATGGGGTTTATCAGGGAGATAAGATGTTTTCTAATGGCAGTTTTGAAGGTGATGAATGTGTCTGCAGTTCTAGAGTTCTCAGGTAGGATGTTCCAGATTTTAGGGCCTTTGACCTACATTGAATTTTTGTAAAGGTTTAGTCGGACATGGGGAATGTCGTAGAGATGTTTGTGTCTGGTGTTATGCCTGTGGGTTCTGTCACAACTATCAAGAAAGCGTTTTAGGTCAAGGTTGATATTGGGGTTTAAGGTCCTGTAGATGTAGATTGCACAGTAGTAAGTGTGGATGTACTGAACAGGGAGTAAGTTTAGATCTATGAAGAGTGGGAGGGGGGGGGGTGTTGCCAGGGATGGGATTTAATGATTATTCTTACTGCAGCTTTTTGTGACTATGGCATTGACTAAATCATTTACAATGATAGTACCACTATAGTATCACCGTACCTGCCTTTTTAGTCACAGTTCCCTCCCCTCCTGTCCTCTGCTCAAGGGCAGATAGAGATAAGAGATACAAGCAGCAGTGAGGTGTCTATCACCTGGTTCACTCTGCCATCATGCCTTCCATCATCAGCATCCTGCTGCCTTCACTGCTCCTCCTGCAGGTGAGCAACAGTATTTTAGGAATATTGTTCACATAATAGATGAACTTATGCCAGGTAGATGTTTAATGTTAATGTCAAGGGTTTATTACCTGGACCTCAGCAATGAGAGTCGCTACTCTCACCGCTGGGCAACGGGACCAGTACTATGCCAGGTAGAGAGCTTGTCTCTTAAAACTGCTTAGATTTCAGCCCGAGAGCTTATGTCCTACCTCAGATTAATTGAAAGCCTAGTTCTTAACTTTTCATCACTCGGCTTATTTCAAAGCCTAGTTTGAAACCCGTGGCCTAGTGGTAAAAGCTCCCGGTTCACACGATGAGGGGTAAGGGTTCGATTCCCAGCGAAGGGGTGGAAACATTGTGCGTATTTCCTTACACCGGTTGTCTATGTTCACCTATCAGTAAAATGGGTACCTGGGTGTTAGTCGACTAATGTGAGTCGCATCCTGGGACCCGAAATGCTCAGCATAACAAGGGGCTTTCTCTATAGTAGTATATCACTGATGTCAGCTAGGCCTGTATACCTTGTACATGTACTTGTAGAAATAAAGATATTATTATTATTATTATTATTATTATTATTATTATTATTATTATTATTATTATTATTATTATTATTATTATTATTATTGCATCAACTTATTTCAAAAGTAAGTGTTAGTTAATATATACTACTACCCTCTTGAATGGTGCTAACCCACTTCAGGCAACACCTTGAAAACTGTACATATCGTTATATCTGCTATGAAATTTAGTAAGCAAGTAAGTTTATTCAGGTATACACAAACACAGTTACATAGATTATCATACATAGCAGTATATGTGTAGAGAACCTGGGATAACCCAAAAAAAGTCAGACAAAGTGACTTATTTCCAATGGGGTCCTTTATGAAGTCCTGTTAAGAAATTTGTCTCGTAAAGAAATTTATACTCTTATTTTTTCAAGTCCATTGAAATAACTTATTTAGTTAATAAAGTTTTCGTTAATAATGAAAATACTGAAAAACGTATTACTCCTTTAGATTGTCTAAATACTTCACCTCAACTTTTCCAAATTAAGAATATAAAACCATAAATAAAGGAGCACTATAGTAGGCCTACCGGCCCATAATAGGCATTTCCATCTGAAACACAAGCATTCCTCCTATTTTTAAATTTAAATCAACCCGAAGTATTATATTGGCCGGTGTTAGTGGAGGCTGGGGAGAAAGTCGACAAATTTTCTGACAAATTTCGAAAAGGCATTTGAGTCGGTTTATCAAGTTAAAGAATAAGACATTGCTTATACAGATTTCAGTAAGATTTTTGCCAGAGACTGACAAAAGAGGCAGTGACAGAGGCAGTGACAGAAGCAGTGACAGAGGCAGTGACAGAAGCAGTGACAGAGGCAGTGACAGAGGCTGTGACAGAGGCAATGACAGAGGCAGTGACAGAGGCAATGACAGAGGCAATGACAGAGGCTGTGACAGAGGCAGTGATAGAGGCAGTGATAGTGTAAACCCCTGCGTTGACTGGTTCGTGGTGCTTGGATTTTGTCCTGGTTAGATCCTTTATTGAAGCGCTGGAAGCGATGGTGACTCTGGTGTTAGCTTGTGCTAGTACTTTATAAACTTTCAGTACAACCTGGCTGTTGGGAAGAATTAAGACTGCGAGAAAAGAGCTCTTCAGATCATTAATTCTCCACGCACCAACAACACTCCTATAACACTTATAACTAAGTTATAATTCTTCCTAACAGCCAGGTTGCACTGAACGTTTCTAAAGTACTAGCACAAGCTAACACTAGAGTCGCCATCACTTCCAGGACTTCAATAAAGGATCAACGCAGGGGTTTACACTATACCCTGTGGAGGCTACGACAAGATTTACGTAGGTGAAACAGCAAGAAACCTCGACCCCCGCCTCATTGTGCACATTTATGCCTGTAGCAACGATAACTTGAACAACACCTGTGTACAACACCGGAATTCCACTAATCATCTCATGAAATTCAGGGACGCCCAATTAGTGATCAAAGAAACTAATTTCCGCAGACGCAATTGCCTTGAATCATCACTAATCGCTGTTTCTAATACAATTAAACAAAACAAAGGCAGCTTCACCATCTCTAAAGTCTTAGCAAGAATCCTCCTGAAAACAGTAAACCCTGCCATCACATAGTCTCTCCTGTTAATACTACACAAAGCACATTACAGAGGATGAACATTGAAACAGGTCTTTCTCTATATCAACCTTCAATGGAAATATTTGTCTAACTTATTTTTATGCTACCCAAGTAATAGCTTTTATATCCTTTTACTCATGTGCAAATTAATTGTATTAGCACCACTACTACAACTTATATCACTACTACTACTACTACCACTAGTATTGCACCTCACTCTGAGCCTATATATACCCTCTGTGTCCATGTATTGTTTGTAACGGCTTGACAAAGCTCCTGGAGAGCGCAACGTTGCCACAATAAAATGTCACATTAGTTACACTTGTGTCCTTTTACTTTACAGTCACTGTGGATGATTCTTGTTACAGGGATGTGAGAGCATGACCCTGTATGAGTACTACGCTCCTGGAGGAGTGGTGGAGGCACCGCTGGTGGCTGAAGGTAACGTCTTCACCCTCAACAACAAGGAGATCGTCATCCTCTCAGGTTCCTTCCACTACTTCCGTGTTCACCCAGCCTACTGGAGGGACACTCTACGTAAACTGAGAGCAGCAGGTCTCAACGCTGTCCAGACGTGAGTTTCCTCTCTGATCTATCATTATTACAGAGGATTAAAAATATTGTTTCCGATTTCATTGTAATAATGATCTAAATAATCGATACAGTGAGGAACACCGGAGTATCTTAGTTGAAGGAAAGTGTCTTATCTGTTGCAGGTTTTCTCTGAGAAATTTAGGAGAAAACTTTCATACCGTTGACACTGGACGAGATGGGGAGGTAATTTTAAGGAGTTCTGCCTTTTAGCCTTTAAGAGCTGATAGATGGTGTTCAAGTCCCTTATGTTTGATTAACGTGTTTTCTCAACTCTTCAAGGGGGACTGAACATCTAAATATTTCCTCTCAACATTTTCCACTTTCTTCAGGTCGAAAGTCGCCTCAATATCTAACACAGGAAGCCTGCTGTTCAGACGAAACTTTTCGACAATAATGATAATGTTGCATACATAGCTTATTCATTATTGCTTCTGGTGCAAATCAGGATAACTAACGGACTCTAAGAAATAAATATAATGGCATCGTGGAAAAGAAAAAATCTTGAGATTTTTCTTTGAAACCATTTGAGAGCTTTCTTTTCCTAACACTTGATTTTTTTTACAGATTTATTTGTTACAGTTTTTTAACGAATTTACAATATACATAATTAATTTATATGGGCTGAACTCTCATCAGGATGGAGAGGACTCAGAATGTGGCAGGCCCTTCCGTTTCTGGACTGCATCACTCGGGCACGAGTTTAGAACCCAGTTATTTCAGGAAACTTGTGGTGTTCCTAATGAAACTGAATATTATAAGAATGCAGTTAGAAGCCTGAGTAGATCTATAACCCAGTTTGATAACATGAACGTATATATACGTTTATGGAGCAACTTGCAATGTGAACGAACTGACTGATGTATGGCCAGCCTTGGTTACAAGTACTTCTGGCAGTTTGGGAGACACACAGATGTAATGTATGTGGTCAGTCCTATGGTCACTATCTTTAACACTATGTGCTTAATTGTTCACTTATTGAGGAATATAGAGATAGGCAGTATAATAACCTATGTGACATGAAAATAAGATACCAAATATATTAAAGTAAATTTCCTAAATTTGCTTGTAATAGGTAAGTGAACTGTAGATATAAATCCAGATGTAGTCCCGTAGATATAAATCCAGATGTAGTCCCGTTAACCCTTTTGGAGCCCAGTTCGTAGGTCTTTTGTGTATCCATATACTCTTGCGCTACCGACCAGAGGATGGATATGGGGTGTACTAGCCACTTTGGTGGCAAAGTCTAATCTCGAGAACTAGGCTCAGTGATCCTCTTAGCATACAGTAGTACCGGTGGGTCAGGTGCTTGCTGAGTTTGTGTTTTTCCTTGTAATCAGCAGCACCACCTGCTCACCAAAACACTAATTCCTTACTTCCGTCGCGAGTTCTTTTACTCCTGCTGCTCAACTTGAAGCCAAGCTGTAAAGTGCTTGTTCAACCAGGCTGTTGTAGTTGTTGGCGGCCCACTGACCCACGTGGTCATCACAACCAGCCAAAATGATTTGGCTCTAGGTAGAGTCAATGTTTCTGATATCCACGGCTGGCAGGCTGAATGGTCGAGCACCACGGATGTTGACACAATGTTTTCTTATTACGCCCGTGGCACAGCAAGGAAACATATCTCTCATTACTCTCACTCCAGTGAGTTATTATGGAAATGTGTATACGTGTGACCAGGACCGCAAGTATCTTCTGTCATGGGTCAGCTTCCTACGGTCAGCGTGCCGGATCCATCAAACGAAGCCATAGCTCAAATGATGTTAAATGTAAGTCATAGTTTAGTATGTATTATTATTACCTCTATTTATTAACTATGGCGATAGGTGTGGCAGGCCATCCGCTCGCAGACATGGGCTCTGGCCCCTAGGCAGAACAAGGTTGCCGACCCCTGTTCTATGTATTGTCTGGTATCTCTCTCTTCTTCGCTCCAGAGAGTACATTCCAAGTAGTTTAAATGTTTTACTGACTCTTTGTGGGTAGAAAACAATCCTTGTAGCCTTTCCAGCTATGTTAGTTTTTTCCCGAGCAGAGTCCTGAACAGGGAACAGTATTACAAATAGCCAACACATGTGATTCGGATAATGTCACTATTCTCAGATATTTTCGTGTTTTAAAAATTCTCGTTAATGTCCCTGTCATTTTTCTGTCCTTCGCGGTTTTTATCTTTCTGTGTTCTCTAAATAATAGATCGTCTGAAATTATTACACACAAGTATTTTATATGTTCCTTTCGTTCTACGAGGGTTTCCTCCTGTGTTTTATATCCAGTGTTCCTTATGAGCTCTTCAGTCTTTCCATATGTGAGCAATTGTAATTGGCCCCCACTTGGCATTATATAGTTTTCACTATCTGCTAGCATTTTTTTTTCTTGCATTTGTTCGTGTCTTTTGCCTTTCATGCTTATATTCTTTGTACACAAAAATCCACATATAAGAGAGAAAAGCTTATAACAACGTTCCGGCCCGAAATGCCTCGGCATGATAGTGACTTTGTTTGCACTTAGCAAATTAATATTGTAATTACACAATGTAAAATACGCAAGGAAATAAACTTCTTAATCCTTAATTTACAAGTCATACAAGATGATGCGAAACTGTCTGGTGTATTTTTGTGTCTGCTGTGAAGACGAGAAACTGCGAAGGAGCCAGGACTGTACCTTGGGGTACTGAGATTTAACTTTGCTAACTAATGTTAGATTCTACTTTATTTTATTCGTTAGATAATGTGATAAAACTAGCATAAATGTGTGCAGTGGGAAAGTGATATTACAATTCTGCAAACTTTGTCTATTCATAAAATCATAGAGATGAAGTGAGAGTTGGTGTCTAATTCTATGGTAGAGTCTATCGAGAATCATTCCTTCTAATGTTTTGCGAAGACAAATAGTAAATGAGGCTGGAATAAACGCATCACGAAGAAGAAAGGACATCTTCCGTGTAACTAAGATTATTGAGACTAACAAAGGTAATCTGGGATGTCATAAGTTATACCATCCTTTCATGGGACGGCTGATCACATACATACAAAATAAAACAACTCTACACACGTCCTCCATTGTTATTGTAATAACATATACAAAATAAAGAACGTTCGAGTCCCCACTCCACCCTAACCATCAACAAAGTCCTCAGCCTCGGGAAATATCACACGTGCACAAAAACATCTAAGTTCCTTCAATGTCCTCAACAAATAAAACAAGTTAAAACACCGACATGATAAAACATGCAAGTCTCCACAAACCTCAGGTGACTAAGTTCCTTGATGGGGCACAAACACTTTCTCTATATTTTGTAATATTTTTAGTCCAAACGAAAAAATAAATACAAGATATCTCCTTAAACGACATAAATATTGGCAAAGTCAACAAACTCCACCACAGGATTGCCGCGACATATTCAGTGAACTGAACTAACAAACAAACATAGCAGAAATATTGTGAGTATTCTGGAAGTACGTTCAGCAATAGTCCAAAATATTACGTTGAGCAAGACAAGTTCTGCTGCTGTGCTGCTGCTGTGCTTGTTGCTTTCTGCTGTTTTCTCTGCTTGCTGCTGCTGCTGTTGTTTCTGCTGCTGCTGTTTCTGCTGCTGTTGTGTTGTTGCTGCTGCTGTTGTGCTGTGTTGCTGCTGCTGCGGCTGTTGTTTTCTGTGCTGTGTTGCTGCTGCTGCTGCTGCTGCTGCTTGCTGCTGTTGCGTGCTGCTGTTGCTGCTGCTGTGCTGTGCTGCTGTTTGTTGTGCTGCTGTGTTGCTGCTGCTGTTGCTGTTGTTGCTGCTGGCTGTTGCTGTGCTGTTGTTGCTGCTGCTCTGTTGTTGTGCTGTGCTGTTGCTGCTGCTGCTGCTGCTGCTGCTGCTGCTGCTGCGCTGTGCTGCTTTTTGATTTGCTGCTGCTGTTGTTGCTGTGCCCGCTGTTTTCTGTGCGTGCTGCTGTTTTGTTTCTGTGCTGCTGCTGTTGCTGCTGCTGCTGCTGCTGTGCTGCTGCTGCTGTCCCTGTTGCGCTGCGCTGCTGCTGCTGCTGTTGTTGTTTGCTGCTGCTGCTGCTGCGGTTGCTCCCTGCGCTGTGTGTGTGCTGCTGCTGCGTGTGTTGCTGCTGCTGTGCTGCTGCTGCTGTTGTGCTGTGCGGCTGCTGCTGTGCTGTTGCTGCTGTTTGCTGTGCTGCTGCTGCGTTGCGCTGTGCGTGTTGCTCCCTGCTGTGCTGCTGTTGCTGCTGTGTGTGTTGCTGCGGGAGCTGTTGCTGTGCTGCTGCTGTTGCTGTGCTTTTTGCTCCCTTTTTTGCTGTTGCTGCTGCTGCTGTTTGCTGTTGCTGCGGGAGTCAGCACAGAAATACTTTTGATAAGCGTGGAAATTTCTGCCAAAAAAAGTGTGTGAGTCAGCCAGGTTTTAACTTGAACTCTTTTTTCCCAGCTTATGTATTTTTGCCCGAAAAAACAGCCCCCTCCCTTTTACTCCCACTCCCTTAAATCCCACACTGTCTTACTCCCACTACCTTCCCCAACTGTTTACCCCCAACTACCTTACTCCCACACTCCCTTACTCCCAAAATGTTTTTACCCCCACACGGTCTTATTTCCCACACTGTCTTAATCCCAACTGTCTTACTCCCACACTGTCTTACTCCCACATGTTTTTACTCCCACACTCCCTTTACCCCCAAAACATTTGTCTTACTAACCACGGGTTTACTCCCACATGTCTTACCCCCCCACATGTCTTACTCCCACATTTTCTTCCCTCCACACTTTTCTTACCCCCACACTGTCTTACCCCCACACTGTTTTTACTCCCCCCTTCTTACTCCCACACTGTCTTACCCCCAACACTGTCTTGCCCCCACACTGTCTTATTCCCCACTTTTTCTTACTCCCCCCCCTGTCTTACTCCCAAAACTGTTTTAACTCCCCCCAATGTTTACTCCCCCTGTATTATTTCCAAACTTTTTACTCCCCACACTGTTTACTCCCACAGTCTTACTCCCACATGTCTTACTCCACACGGGTTTTTTCCCAACGTCTTACTCCCCATGTCTTACTCCCCACTGTCTTACTCCCCCCACTGTCTTACTCCCACACTGTCTTACTCCCACACGGTTTTTACCCCCAACACTGTCTTACCCCCACCCTTTTCTTACCCCCACACTCCCTTTTACTCCCACATTTTTTTCCCCACACTGTTTTTACTCCCACACTGTATTACTCCCCCCATGTTTTACTCCCACACTGTTTTACTCCCACACTGTTTACTCCACACTGTTTTTACCCCCAAAACTGCTTGCCCCCAAACCCCTTTCTTATTTCCCACACTGCTTCTCCCACACTTTTTCTTACTCCCACACTGTATTGCTCGCACACTGTCTTACTCCCCCCTTTGGTCTTGCTCCCACCTGTCTTGCTCCCCATGTCTTACCCCCACACTTTCTTACCCCCACACTGTCTTCTCCCCCAGTTTTTACTCCCACTTGTTTGCTCCACATTTGTCTTACCCCCAAAATGTTTACTCCCAAACTGTTTACTCCCACACAGTCTTTCTCCCAACTGTTCTTGCTCCCCACTCTCTTACCCCCAAACACTGTTTTGGGCCCCCCCTTCTTACTCCCCACTGTCTTACTCCCCCCCACTGTTTCTCCCCCCACTGTCTTACTCCCACATGCTTACTCCCAACTGTTTAAATTTCTCACACTGTCTTGCCCCCAAACTCTTTACCCCCACACTGCTTGCCCCCAAACACTCTTTACCCCCACATTGTCTTACCCCACACTGTTTTTTGTCCCCACTTTTTATTTTTTCAAACACTTCTTGCTCCCAAAATGTCTTACTCCACCCCTGTTTTGGGTTCCCCCACACTGTCTTACCCCCACCGGGTTTTTCCCCCACACTCCCAAAATTGTATTAACCCCAACATGTCTTCCCTCCCCCCATCCCACATTTGTCTTGCCCCCAACATTTCCTTATTTCCCAAAACTTTTCTTCCCCTCACATGTCTTACTCCAAAATTTTACTCCCACATTTGTCTTACTCCTCCCACTGCCCCCACTGTCTTCCTCCCACATTCTTTACTACACACGTCTTCCCTACACTGTTTTAAATCCCACACTGTCTTGCCCCCAACTTTTTTACTCCCCCCTCCCAAAATGCCCTTGCTCCCACATGCTTTTTTCCCAACCCTGTTTATTTTCCACACTGCCCCCCCCCCCCAACTGTCTTGCCCCCAATTCCCTTTAAACCCCCCACACTTTCATACTCCCACACTGCCCACATTGTTTAATCCCACACGTTTTACTCCCACACTGTCTTTCCCCCAAAATTCTTTCTCCCCACGGGTCTTGCCCCAACACTGTTTAAATCACAAAACTGTCTTACTCCCACACTGCCCACACTTTTCTTGCTCCCACATTTACCTTACTCCCACACTGTCTTGCTCCCACATCCCTTTAAACCTTACACTGTTTTACTTCACTTTGGGGCCTTATTCCCCACTGTCTTGCCCCCACCTGCCTTGTTTCCCACAGGTCGTCCCCCCCAAACTTCCCTTACTCGCCCCACTGCCCTTGCTCCCACACCGCCTTCCCCCCCACCACTGTCCTGCCCCCACACTGTCTTAATCCCACACGTCTTACTCCCAAAATGCCTTATCCCAACATTTGTTTTTGCTCACACTCCCTTTGTTTCCCACACTTTTTCTTGCTCCACACTGTCTTGCTCCCCCACGCCTTGCTCCCACACGTCTTGCTCCCCCCTTGAATTCCCGGGGCCACCTCCCTTGCCCCCAACACCCCCTTTTTTTAATTTTTCCCCACACTTTCCTGCCCCCAACATGTCTTACTCCCACACGGGTCTTACCCCCAAAATGCCCCCCCACTTTATTAATCCCACACCCCTTACCCCCCACACTGTCTTGGACATTTACCCCACACGGGTTTTAAAACCCCCACTGTCTTACCCCACACTTTTCTTGCTCCCCACTGCCTTACCCCCACATTGCTATTTCTGTTTTGCTCCCACACTGTTTACTCCCACACGTTTCCCCCCACTGGTCTTGCTACCCCCCTACTTACTCTCACACTCCCACCCCGTTTGCTCCCACACTGTTTTACCCCAAACACCTGTCTTGTTCCACACTGCCTTACCCCCAACCTCCCCACTTGTTTGCCCCCAACACTGTTTACCCCCACATGTCTTGCCCCACATGTCTTACTCCCACACTGTCTTGTTTCCCCAACATTTTCTTACCCCCAACACTGTTTTTTACTCCCCACGGGCCACCTGTCTTGCTCCCACATGTCTTCCCCCCAAAAATGCTTATCCCCACTGCACACTGTCTTACCCCCGCCAAACCCCAAAACTGTTTTGCCCCCAATCGGGTTTTAAATTTCCCACCCCTGTCTTGCCCCCAAACGGGGTTTTCCCCCAACACGGGTCTTACTCCCACACTGCCACACTGTTTTTCCCCCACACTGTCTTGCCCCCACTGTTTACTCCCAAAATGTCTTGCTCCCACATGTCCTCCCCCGGGCTTGTCTTACCCCCAACACGGGCCACACTGTTTTGCCCCCCAAAACTCCCTTTATCCCCAACCCCGTAAAGTAAAAACCCCTTTTGTCCCCTTTGTCCTCCTATCTAACTTTGCTAACCCCGGCTTGTTTGGGTTAGGGGGGATGAATTGTAAAGGCCCTGCCTAGTAGGGGCCCAAAGGGCCCTCCCCCAGTTTTCCCTTCCTTTTTAGGGTTCTTATGTTCTTATTTTCTCTCTTGCTCCCCCCCTTGCCCTTCCCTCCCACCTGTCTTGCCCCCCACACTATTTTACCCCCAAACTGTCTTGCCCCACACTCCCTTTACCCCTACACTCTTTTGCTCCCACACTGCTTTACCCCACACTGTCTTTGCTCCCACATGTCTTACTCCCCACTGCTTACTCCCTGACTGTCTTGCCCCCAAACGGGTTTTTCCCTCCCCCCACTCTCTTGCTGGAAGTCCAACCCCCTCGCAACAAAACCCCCTTTTAAAACCCCCTCTCCCCAAACCCTTTTTAAAAGGACGATCCCTCCCTCGCCTTCCTTCCCACTACAGTTTTTTATACGTCTCCAAGTCATTCTATTTCTTTTCCCCCTCTCTAAATCCCCGGTTCCACCTAAACAACCCTCCTCAGTCCTCGGGATAAACTTTTAGAAAACCCTACACCCCCTAAATTTTCACACTACAAATTCTCTGAAATTTAATTCACACCCAAAACATTGCCCTAAGACATAAAATCCCCCACTGTCTCCCCCTTCACTTGTTGCAACATTAAACCACCCTTGTTCACCCCCATATGAGATTGTTGTTTACTGCTATACTCTCATATTTTCCCCCTTTTTTTGCTTCCATGGATAGCGTTCTTTGTCTCCACAGATCCTCGGTGCACTACTCATTTTTTTTCCCTCAGAAATTTCTATGATTCACCTCCCCCTTTAAAGAACCTTTGTGACAAGCCCACCCCCAAAATATCTGTATACATTCACTTCCTCCATATCCCCCCAAATTCGATATCCAATCTTTCGTACTCGGTTTTTTTTTCCTCGTCCCCTTATCTTTCCTATGTGGTTTTTTTAATTTTCCTTTTTTTAAATACCCGCCCAAAACTCGTCCAGCGACCTCGCATTTTCTTTTTCAGAGTCTTCCAAAAGCACAGTGTCATCAGAAAATGTTAAGAAAACAGCTCCCCTTTGTGTTGGGATCATTTCTTTTAATCCCAGCCCTCTTTAAAACGCCCTTTCATTCCCCTTTTCTCTTTTAAAACCCCCAATCTTTAAATATATTGACAACCATGTTTGACATCACTTTCCCTGTCTGGGCCCCTACTTTTATGGGGAAATTTTCTCCCTCTATTTTTAAAAAACTCAAACCCTGGCCTCACCATCCTCGTTAAAAAAACTCTTCACTCCCTCCTTTTCCCATACATTTGAAAATCTGCCCTTTGCCCCCCTACCCAAACCCTTTTATACCCTTTTCCCAAAAATTTAAAACTACAAAAAAACCTCTTTACCCTTATCAAATCTGTTCACTTTTTATTTTCACTTTTAAACATTTGGTCTACACCCCCCCTCCCCTTTCCCTTTAAAACCCCTTTGTTAATTGCGATCCGGGGTTCAGTCTTATTTTAAATTTCTTTCAAAAAAATAACTCTACTAAAACATTTTAAAAAAGGCTTATTTCTCAAAAAATTTTTTGAAAATTTTTTTTTCCCATTTCCCTTATACAAAAAAACTTGCATGCTCTTCCCAATTTCAAGGTCCCCTTTCCCCCTTTCTTCGATACATTTTTTTTAATAGCCCCAAAACCCTCCAAAACTATACGGGGGACCTTCTTTTAACATTTCGGGTTTTTATCCCTCAATCCCAGCTTTTTTATCCTCTTTCATTCTACCCACTGCCCCACGCATTTTTTCCCCCCCCTCACACTGATCTTCCTGAGTTACAAGATTTTTACCCCCCCTCCCCAGTGTTTCGAAATCACAGCTTCCCCCCCTTCATAAAATTTAATAGTTCCTCAAAAATTCCCTCCATCTTCCTCTACCCCCAGCTCTCCGTCTTCTTTTTTTTAAAAACTGTCAAATCCTTGGGGGTTTTTTAGGTTTTTTCCTCTTTTTAATCTCACTCCAAAAGTTTTTCTTTTTCCCAAAACCCAAAATTTGGTTGATAGAAATGCCCCCCACTTTTCCCCATTTGTCTTTTTTTTTTTTTGGCCCCACCATTTCTAATAACCCCCCTTTTTTCTTTCCATATACTCCTCCCTCTTGTATCACTTTTTATTTTTGTAAAACCCCCTCATTGCAAATTTTTTTCCCCCTTTAAATATTCTTTTACTTATTCCATCACTCGTTTCTTCTTCCCCCCCGACCCACTTTCCGTAACCACAAATTTATAAAACACTCTAAAATACATTAAAAAACCCTACCCCATATTTTTTAAACCTCTTTTGCCTATACTCTCATTTGCCCATCTTTTTTCTAATAGATGTTTTTTCCCTCACCCTAACGGGAACTTTCCTTTAGTTTTAAACCCTTTCGCCTCCCCTTCTCTCTTCTCTCTCTCTCCCCATTCACTAAATTTCATTCTCCTTTGTACCCCATCTCCCTTTTACTCTCATTGTAGCAAATTACTATAAAATGTTTGGGATTTTGTCTGTGGCTCCCTCTATTAACCCATGCACTTCCTGAATTCCACATCCTTTCCTTTTGTTACCAATACATGTCCAAAAAAACTGGGGGTCATCCGCCCTACATCATATTTTATACTTAATTATCAATTTTTTCCCTAAAATATGTATTACCCTTTTTCCAAACCCCCTTTCTATACAAAAAATCAATCAAAGGTTTCCCCCTTATCATTTTAAAAACCTGGCACCCGAAAAATTTTCCTACCACACCCTCTCTAAACCCTTTCTCCCCATTTAGTAAATTTTAAGTCCCCTATCACAAACCCCCATTGGGTTTAAAAGTTCCTAAAAAAACTCAATTTAACATCTCCCCAAAACTCTCTCTCACCCCTTTTTCTGTCTCTTTCCAGGTCCCCTACCACAGGGTTTTGACCCCCTTTTGCATCTGCCCTTGTCTTTTAAACCACATTTAAACCTCCCAAAATTTTCACATTTTTATTCCCTCTTTTTCCCCTTTCCTAAGTGATCCCTTTAACATTGTTTCCCTTCCTTTGCTGTTAAAAAAATCTCAAAAACTTTTGCTTTAACCATTTATTTCTCCCCTCACTGAAACTTCCCTACTTCCTTCAGCTTTTCTTCGATAAAAATAGCAATTTTCCCAAGTATAATAAAGGTTTGACCCGTTCACTTAAAAACTCCCCCTCTGTTTAAAGGGGCTAACCCCACCCTTTCACTACCTGTGGGGAAAACTAACCTTTTTTCCCCGCCTCCCCGGTTTCGTGCCCTTTGGGAAATTGCCCCGAGAAAGTGCGGGTGGGATGACTTCGGTCCGTGGGAGAAAGCATTCGCCTTCTTGGACGTGGTAGCTTCGTTACCTTGGTCAGGGGGAAGACCCCTTTGTTTTCCTCAGACCTTTGGGCCATATATCTGCTCTGAGTGGGACTTTGGTGGCATGCCAGGTGAAGTACCAAAGGTTCCCCGGTGAGGCCCGGTACCCCGGGGAGAGGTGACAGGGGCCCAGGTGAATATCTGGATTGGGCCCGGTGAGGGGTGCCCCCAGGCTCAGGGGAGTGTTTTCCCATCGAAAATTTTTTTTATTGCCGAGAAATTATAACAATTTTGGGAGAATGGATTGCAAGGGGGCTTTTTGTTCCTGTCTAGCAGGTTTGCACCAAATTACCTTACACATTTAATTTACGGGTCTCCTCCTTTTTTAAAGGTTAAAAAAGTCATATGAAGGGGACCCCTCCCCCGACATAATTAGAAATTTAAAGCTGTTCCCGTACATATTTTGGGCCCTTAAAAACTTCAGTGTTTTTTTTTTATAGGGGCCCTTTTCGGGTCTTTCATAGTCATGAAAAATTTTTTACACAGCCCTGTCCATGGTAAAATTTCCCTAGTCATCCACAAGTACTAGTTAAAAAATTTCCTAGTTCGTTCAAAAGTGGAAAATGAGGTTTTTATTAGAAGGAGTGTCGTTCACAATCACTTGTAGGGGCTGAGGAGGTGGTCCCAAACACTTGCAAGTTTGGGTGAAGGGTTTGGGTTTAGCCCCAGGTGAAGGTGGTTTGAGGGGCTGCGGAAGGATGGTTCAGGCCCGGGTGAGGTGGTTCAAGGGGTTTGGGGGAGGGTGGGTTTTAGGTCTGGTTGGGAAAGGGGGTTCAGGTTTGGGTGAGGATGGTTCACAATCCCTTTTTTTTTTGTATTTACTAAAAATCCTGCTTAGAATAAAATTAAAACTGCCAACTAAAAAAATTTTGAAAATTTTAAAAAAAAATTCCACGAGGGAAAAATGGCATCCCAAAAAATAACCAGAATCTCAAATCATCAAGTTTTTTAATAATAAGAGGAAATTCTGTTTAGTGAGTAAAATTTTCTTTAACACTTTAGGAAAGGGCAATGTGTTTGGTCCCATTGTCTAAAAATATTACCCCGGGGGTTTGGTAGATTTAAAACCCCCATTTAGTTTCCCGGGACCTGGAGATTTTTAAACCAAAAAACACCAGGCCCCGGGGTTTTTTGGGGTTTACAACCAACACCAGCCCCAGTTACCCGGAGATTTTACCCCCCCCAGCCCCCGGGGCTTTGGGTATTATTTCGCAAACACCAGCCCCAGGGAAAAAAACCCTTTTTTTATAACCCCCAACACCATCCCCCGGCACCCGTAGATAAAAAAACCAAACCGCCCCCCAAGGGGGCTCGAAAATTATACCAAACCCAAATAGCCCCCGGGGGCCTGGAGTTTATACCACAAATATCGTCTCAGGGGGGATGTTAAAAATTTTTCCATTTAAAAACCCAGTCCCAAAGGGGCCCGTAGATTTTTTCCACCAACACCGCCCGGGGGGGCCCGTAAAATAATTTCCACCAAAAGCCAGCCCCGGTGGCCCGAAAATTTTTACCAAAAAGCAGTCCCAAAAGGCCTGTAAATTACACCATAAAAAAAAGCCCCAGGACCTTTTGATTAAACCCCCAAATCAGCCCCCGGGGGGGTTTTCGATTTTACCCCCAACACCCGCCCCGGGGTCCTTTTGATTACACCCCCCCAAAACCCAGCCCCAGGGGCCTGGGAGATTATGCCCCCCAACACAAGCCCCCGGGGCCTGTAGATTATTTCCTAAAAGCCAGCCCCAGGGGGGTTTGTAGATTATAAAACCCAAACCATCCCCAGGGGTTCCTCTGATTTCCACCAAAACCGCCCCCGGGCCTGTAGATTTTACCCCCAGCACCGCCCCCGGGGTCTGTTCATTTTTTACCATACAACCCGCCCGGGGGCCCCGTGGATTTTTTACCCCCAACCAGCTCCAGTGGCTGTGATTATTTCCCCCCAAAAAACCCGCCCCAAAAGGCCTGTTTGATTTTGCCCCTAAAAACCAGCCTCAGGGGGCCCAAAAATTTACCCCCAACATCTGCCCCATGGGCCCGTACATTACACCACCAACACCAGCCCCTACCACCCAAAACCAGCCCCAGGGGCCTGGGATTATACCACCAAAAATTTAGCCCCAGGGGAAACCGTAGATTTTACCACCAACCCCCGCCCCAGGGGGGTGTAGTTATACCAAAACATCCCGGCCCCAAGGGGAAATTGTTTGATTACACCAAACCCAAAAAGTCCAAGGAGGGTTGTTGATTATACCCCAACCCCCTCCCCCGGGGGCCCTGTAGATAAAACCCCAAAAGCAAACCCCCGGGGCCTTAGGGGTTTTTACCAAAAAGCAGCCCCCGGGCCCGTAGTTTTTTTCCCTTAAAAACCCGCCCCAAAGGGCCCTTTTTGGGTTAAAAAAAAACCCAAAATTTAAAACCCCCGGGGGTTTTTCGATTTTACCCCAACACCAACCCCCGGGGTCGTAGTTTTCCCCCCAAAACCAGCCCCAGGGGCCCGTTTGATTATACCCCAAAAACAAGCCCCCAGGGGCCTGTAGTTTTACCAAAAACACCCGCCCCCGGGATTTGTAGTTATAGCATAACGCCAGCCCCTGGGCTTTTAGATTATAAAACCAAACCCGCCCCCGGGTCCTGTAGATTTTGCCACAACACCAGCCCCAGGGTCCCGTAGATTATACCACCCAAAACCGGGCCCCCCCGGGGCCTGTTTGGTTTACCCCCAAAAACCCGCCCCAGGGGTCTGTACATTATACCACCAAACCAACCCCGAGGCCTGTTCATTATTCCACCAAAAACCAGCCACAGGGGCCCGCGGATTTTACCACCAACCCCCAGGGGGGCCCATAGTTTTTACCCCAAAACCGCCCAAAAGGCCCTTTTAGATTATTCCCCTAAACCCGCCCCCGGGGCCCATGATTATAACCCCCCAAAAACCAAACCCAAAGGCTTTTTTTTAGATTTACCACAAAAAATCAGCCCCCGGAGCCCGTAATTATTCCACCAAAAACCCGCCCCAGGGGCCCGTAAAATTTTTACCCCCGGGGCCCGCCCCAGGGGCCTGGGAAAAATTTTTCCACCAAAACCAGGGCAGGGGGGTTTTACAAACATATCACCAACAACCCTTCCCAGGGGCATGTTTCAAATTTTACCACCCAAAACCGCCCCCGGGGGGGTTTTACATTTTCACGAACCCAAAACCCCGCCCCCGGGGCCTGTTAAAAATTTTTCCCTCGAAACCCGCCCCCAAAGGGGCCCGTAAAAAAAATTTTTAAACCCCAACACCCCTCCCCCGGGGGGTGTACATCATACCCCCAACACCATCCCCCTACCACCCAAAAACAGCCCCGGGGGGTTTTTGTACGTTTACCCCCAAAACCAGGGACCAGGGGTCCTTTTTAAATTATACCACCCCAAAATCAGTCCCAGGGGGGCCCGTACATCCACCACCAAAAACACCCCCCGGGGGCTGTTAAATTATTTCCCCCCAACACCCGCCCCAGTGGACTTTTAAAATTTTAACCCCCAACATCAGTCCCCAAAGGGGCCCGTATTTATACCACCAACACCCGGCCCCCCATTTCCCCCAAAAACAAGGTCAAAAGGGGGCTGTTTAAAATTTAAACCCAACACCAGTCAAAAGGGGCTTGGGGAAGATTTTTTTCCCCCAACACCAGCCCCAGGGAACTGTAGGGTTTTACCACCAAAAAACAGCCCCAGGGGTCTTAAATTATTTCCCCCAACATTTATTCCCGGGGCCTTTTTCATCCTTCCCCCCAACACCCGCCCCCTACCAAACCCCAAAAGCCCCCCGGGGTCTGTTTTTTTATTCCCCAACACTTCCCCAAGGGGGCTATAAAAGATACCACCAACATAGTCCCAGGGGTGTAGATTTACCTCCAAAACAGTTTCTTTCCACCAACACCAGCCCAAACCCCCAACCCAGCCCTTGGGGTCTGTAAATTATACCACCAAAAACAGCTCCAGGGGGCCCGTCGATTATACCCCCCAAAAATCAGTCCCCGGGAAACCTTGGGAGATTGTACCACCCAAAAAGCAGCCCCCGGGGCCTGTAGATTGTACCACCAATACCAGCCCCGGGGGCCCGTAGATTATACCACCAACACCGCCATAGGGCTTTAGATTATACCCCCAAAAACCAGCCCTAGGCGGTGGAGATTTTATCACCCAAAACCAGGGCCCCGGGATATTTTAGAATTTTACCACTAACACCGCCCCAGGGACCTTTAGATTATCATCAACACCAGCCCTAGGTTTTCCGTTGATTTATACCTCAATACCGCCCCGGGGCTGTAGATTATACCACTAAACAGTCAGGGCCTGTACATTATGCCCCAAAACCCCGCCCCCGGGGCCTGTAGGTTATGCAACTAAAAACCCGGCCCCCGGGGGCCCGTTTGATTATACCATAACACCGGGTCCAGGGGTTTTAAAAATTATATCCCCCAACACCAGCTCCAGGGGCCTGTAGATTATACCACTAACACCAGCCCCAGGGGACTGTAGATTACACCACCAACACCAGCACCAGGGGCCTGTAGATTATACCACCAACACCAGCCCCAGGGGCCTGTAGATTATACCACCAACACCAATCCCAGGGGCCTGTAGATTATACCACCAACACCAGTCCCAGGGGCCTGTAGATTATACCACGAACACCAGCTCCAGGGGCCTGTAGATTATACCACTAACACCAGCCCCAGGGGCCTGTAGATTATACCACCAACACCAGCCCAGGGGGCCTGTAG